TTTGGAAGAAAACAGATTGCCATAAGGAATGGAGCCCCTGTTAGAGCCCAGTCTGGAATGGGCTCTCTGAAGGCTGGATGAGGCAGCCCTTTGGTGCCAGAAGCAGAGGATTCCAGCAGTGAATTGTGTGCAAGGATTCTGGGAGCAGGCACTCAGGTCAAGTGGCAGGAGGGACATGGGAGGAAGGAATGGTACTTTAGGCCAGAGCCCTAAGCACACGGCCTGTACATTGAAGGCCTGAAGTGGTGGTAGAAGAGGAGGGGAGTGTGCAGGAGGCCATGGAGATGTTCTGGGTATGTTGGGGAACACTTTGCAGTGAAACATTCTGATGGAGTTGGAGTGGTGGTATGCTGGTGAGGATGGAGGCATGAAGCAGGTCTGTCTAGGATGGGGAGGGACAAGGACAGCTGGTACCAGGACAGATCCACGTCTGACTTTGTGGGCTGCCTTAGGGCTTCAAAGAAAGGTGGGTGGATGGAGGGTCCAATGAGTGAGGCTAGGATGCAAGGTGCTAACTCTACTTTAGGGACATCCTTCTCTGCAGTGCCTCTGTACTCATCAAGGTCTGACTTCCTCCTCTCCTTAGAGTCTCCTTATGGCCTGAACAGCCTTCTGTCCATCGTCTTGTCTCCCCAGCCCAGTCTCCCCACCTCACAGGTTTTGTCTGTGATGTCTCCTCAACTGCTTAAATGTTATAATCTTCTGGGGAGTGATAGGTCAGGGAAGGCCAACTCTTACTTGTTCCCTAGGTAGCACTTGAATTTTTTACCCTGAGCATCTTCCTTTCTTTTACTAGCAAAAGGTAGTAATTGAAGCCAATTTTACTTGTTGGGTAGAGTAGAAAAAGATTGCTTTTCTCTAGTAAAACATAGGCATAGATAAGCTGTTTGTGTGCGTGTGTGGGAGTGCATGCACGTACATGTACATGTGTGCTTCAGATCTTGTTAAAAAATTAATTTAATCTAATAATTCCCTGGACCAAGGGGTAATTGACTCTGATGGATTCCAGGGCTATCTAAAGTGCCCAATAACGAGATAATGCCTTGCCGTAATAGGATTAAGCCCTGGACAGACCCGGTTGATCTGGCTCTGACTTCATCTTGTTGTCATTTCACGTGGGGAAGTTACACTCATCCATTATGACTAACTTTTCTAGGAAGCAGACCTGAAAGTGATGTGCTATCTAGAGTGACCCGGGCTGGCCATGGTGTGGACACCCATGTAGGTCTGGGGGTGGGGGTGCATGTGGGCCCTAGCTCTGCACCCAGCTAGCCACCTGGACAGCCAGCCATGCAGTTTGTCCAGGACCTTGCTAACTATAGTCCAAATACCCAACATTTTCACGAGGAAGGAATCATAATCCTGAGCTTGGCTCCTGGTGGCCACTGAAAATGGAGTTGTTGTATGTGTCTGAGTGCCTGACTCACAGGGCCTTTCTGCTCCTAGGCGGGCGCGTGAAGACCTGGAAGCGGCGCTGGTTCATCCTGACTGACAACTGCCTCTACTACTTTGAGTACACCACAGTAAGTGGGCCTCAGGAGCCTCTGGGCAAGGGCCCTCAGACCGTGGCCTGCTGAGGCTGCCTGTGTGCATTTTTCTTGTAGGACAAAGAGCCTAGGGGCATCATCCCACTGGAGAACCTCAGCATCAGAGAGGTGGAAGACCCACGGAAACCTGTAAGTGGTTTCTCCATTCACAAGTGTCCCTTTTTTTGCTTCTTTGAACTACGTTTGCAGGTGCCCCAGGCTAGGAGGATCATAGCGGCTTGGGCACACCTTTCATTTCTCTTCTCTCCCCAGAACTGCTTTGAGCTCTACATCCCTGACAATAAAGACCAAGTCATCAAAGCCTGTAAGACAGAGGCTGATGGCCGGGTGGTGGAGGGAAACCATG